GGATCAGGAAGGAATGGAACTGCTGCCGATGCCATCGACATCACAGGGAAACAGCAACGCTTCCGCCATATTGATATCAAGTGAAAGTATTGATGATGACGACAACGAAGAAGACAACTTCCTGGATCAGGAAGGAATGGAACTGCTGCCGATGCCATCGACATCACAGGGTAACACCAACGCTTCCGCCATACTGATATCAATTGAAAATATTGATGATGACGATGACGACGACGACGACGACGAAGAGGAAGAAAACAGTAGCGGTTTTCTGTTTCAACCAAAAATAGAACTGCTGCCGATCCCATCGACATCAAAGGGAAACAACAACGCTTCCGCCATACTGAAATCAAGTGAAAGTATTGATGATGACGAAAACGAAGAAGACGACTTCCTGGATCTGGAAGGAATGGAACTGCTGCCGATGCCATCGACATCACAGAGAAACAGCAACGCTGCCGCCATATTTATATCGACTGAAAATATTGATGATGATGACGACGAAGAAGAAGAAGACAGCTTTACTACTCAAAAGCTGTTTTCGTTTGCTTGGCAAATAGCAAAGGGAATGGTAGGTATTAATATAGCTATTTCGAAATGAGATAAAATGTAAAGATACTTTCTAGTATTGACTCTCGACCTCCACAAGAAGAGTTTTCTAAACAAATCATCTGAATGTCCGAGATGGGTCTTGCGTGCCTTGTTTAGTGGTAATTTCAAACACCCTTAATAAGATTGAATACATGGCTTGCAAAAAAGAAAAAAAGTATCATAATCTTGATTTCTATAAATAAATTGTGCTCTTTTAATTCTTTCATGATTTTTTAGAATCATCTCGCAGAGAAAGGCTTCATTCATCGTGACCTTGCAGCTCGTAATATTCTGGTTGGCAGTGATAACCGAGTCAAAGTGTCAGACTTTGGGTTGATGAGACAGATATACGAGGASGTGTAYRGTGGAAAGAATACGAAGAAGCTTCCTGTGAAATGGATGGCCCCAGAATCAATTAATGACAGCATTTACACCATCAAGAGTGATGTGTAAGTCAATCTTTCTGTGTGATGGCAAGGCCTTTTTCTCAACCCTCAGACGCACACATGGAGAAGTGCAACTTACCCTTTCAAGGATTTAGCATGTATTATCGAGTTATGATACGCAGGAAGTTTGGAGAGCACGAAAGAAGCGTAGAAGTTGCTCGTGGGGCAGCTTGTCATTATAATACAAGGACAAAAAGAGAAAGCCTTAAAATCTTAGATGTGTAGAGTACATGTAATGTAATTACAAAGCAGCACTTATTGATGTTTTATATTTTCATATAGCTGGTCCTTCGGCATAATTCTTTGGGAAATGGCCACCATGGGTAAGTTAAACAAAAACTATTACTTTTTCTTATTCATACCAAATTCTTTCTTCCTTTTTTTCCGAAATTAGCCATTACTTTCTTATGAGGCAATAATTTGTGGTTGATGTTTTCTCGGTTTGTTAACTTACCTTTTTATGACTTATTAATTTTTTGTTTTTT